CCTTGTAAGACCTTGCTTATATGAAACTACAATTGTGACAGCATGCGCACAACTAAAAAAAAACAAAAAAAAAAAAAAAAAACAAGAGAACCTAATTTGGGGGCTGGGGAGCTGGCTCAGTGGATAAGAGCACTGTTTGCTCTTACAGCAGGCCTGGGTTTAATTCTCAGCACCCACATGCTGGCTAACAACTATCTATAACTCCAGTTCCAGGGCATCTGATGCCCTCTTCTGGGCTTCATGGACACCAGGCATGCACTTACATACATGCCGGTAAAAAAACTTGTAGATGTGGCATGTGAGCAGCGGTGGGAGAGGTGGGAACTTCAGTTCTCCTCCCAAGCAGTTGCAGTTGAATCACTTGGGTCAAAGATCCCCAGGCCTCTCCCAGCTTCTTACTCATGAGTAGACACTTCTTACTTCAGTCTACTGTGGAAAGACTCTGAAAAGGTCAGTGCCACACCTCCCAAAAGCTCCACTCCAGCCCACTACTCCTTCCTTCTAATTAGTACCTTCCATGGTTTCAGAGCTCAGCTCTAATTGAGACCCTGTCCTTGGTCAGCCCTGCCTGGCAGCACCTGCTGGGACAGAACACACCTGGACCTGCTCTGCCTGGCTGGAAAATATGCAGCTTCCCCAGAGCCACCACACCCTTGGCCTTCTGCCCCTCTCCTCCCACCTCAGCACCACTGGCAGCCTCAGGGTGATTTTCAGGGACAACCAAGAGAAAGGCAGATAGGAGAGAAAATGGGAAGCCCCAAGAGGCAGAGTCAAAGCAGTGTGACAGAAAGAATGAAGTGGAAACAGAGAGAGACAGGCGAAGAGGAGGGATGGAGGGAAGCAAAGACACAGGTAGACACTAGAGGAAAAGACTCAGTGTCGAAAGAAAAGGCCAAACAAAACAAAGAAGGCAAGCCCTGAACACACGGGGAGGGAAGGCACAAAGACAGGAGAAGTTTCTCTGAGTGGGAGGAAGCGTCACAGGGGACAGTAGCAGCGGGCCGTGTGCGCTCCAGGACTGAGGCCACCACAGTGAGAAGGTCACAGACCAGGGAATGGGGCACACTTGGAGCCTGGAAAATATGTCTCCCAGATCTCACCATTGATGAGGAAACCACCACAGGGTGGTGCAGTGAGTGGCCTAGTATGAGAGAGAGTTACTCTGTGAGGAATCTGGCAAATCACCGCAGCGGTCGAGTCAGTGAAGCATGAAAAAGCCCTGGGATTTTCCACTCTGCAGCAAGTGAGGTGCCACCACCCTCTCCTGGTAACCCCACCTGCACTTCATTCCACAGACACTTAGTTGACGCCAATAACGTTCTTGGCCCTGGGTGGGGCCCAGAGGATGTGGCCATAAGGAGCAGGTACAGCCTCCAGGGAGGCCAGGATTGGGAGAAGAGGACAGAGATAAGCCACCAGAGGCCTGTGCAAGTCTATGGGCACCTGAAAGGGGCATTCTTTAAGAGCTAACCTTTGAATATCACCTTTAAAAGCAGGAGGATTTGGAGGCATCATGATAAGGGATGGGGATGGTGAGAGCAAGCATGAAGATGGGAAGCCAGAAGGAGGGAGAGGTGCCATTCTATGGGAGAGAAGAGGTTGAGATGTTTTACTTCACTCTGTCAAAAGGAAGACACTATAGCATGGTTTCCAGAGGGGTGATAAGAAGCACGTCCTACCCCAGACTCCGAGAGTCCCTTCTTTTGTTAACTCCATGTGGCTGCTTTGAGTTCAGTCTTCTGTAAATTGGGGGCTTTAAGCAGCATAGTGTTCACTTTTCTGGAACTAAAAGGTGCTTTGCAGACTTTCCTCTGCCCCCAGCTTAAATTGTGGAAAACAACTGAATCGATGAGCTGAGAGGCCCTGTCCACCCAGAAGGCTGGCCGTCCTGAAAGAGATGTGAGCACTCCCTCACCACAGGCTCTCTCAGTCCTGCCAGTCTGTGAGTGCCTGGCTCCTTCCTGCTCATCACAAAGCCACACCAAGCTCCCCCACATGGTTGAGGTTGGTGCCCAGGGAGACACATTGTTCCTACCAGAGTCAAACAGGAGCGACACACAGAGGCAATTGCAGTACAGACTGACAGCAGTGATGACTGTGCCTCAGCAGACCTCAGTGGAACAGTGGTTGAGAGGGAGTTCTAAGGCCCTTGCTCACGTTCATTCATTTAACCCTCACACCAATCATCCGAGGCTGGCATTAGCATAACCTCTGCTTTACATGACTAGTGGAGAGCTAGAAAGAATTTCTTAATAAAAGGACATAGGAGGGGTGACCTGAAGGCAAAACGCTGCCTCAGAATTGACCTTGAAAAGGCACTTGCCAACTGAGTGCTCTGGGTTCACTTAAAGTGTGGCATATTTAAGATCTGCAAAGGTATATACCTTGGAGAAAACAACAGTCTAGACCATGCAGGCCTCACAAAGAGGCCTCTGTGACAGCCAATGGAGATGGAATTCCCTTCCCAAGTCCAGCAGGGTGAGCACAGGCCAACCAGTCTTTGAGACCTGGAAGTGGATTTTAAATCATAGGGAAGGCAACATCAACTTAGGAGGGTAGTAAGAACAGTCAAAAATCAAAATCATGTCTTAGTCCATCTCATGCTTCTTTAACAGTGCTTGAGACTAGATAACTGATAAAGAACAGACATGTGAGGGGTTGGAGAGATAGAAATGGCTCGGTGGTTAAGAGCATTGGCTGCTCTTGCAGAGGACCCAGGTTCAGTTCCCAGGACCTACATGGCAGCTAACAACAGCCTGGAGCTTCAGTTCCAGGGGATCCAACTCCTTCTGGTCTCTACAGGCACCTGCATATACATGGTGAAAATGCATACACTCAGGTACACACACACACACACACACACACACACACGGACACACACACACGGACACGGACACATATGCATACACATAAAATAACTCTTTTTAAAAAAAAGAACAGATTTATTTTGTGCAGTTTGACAGTGGAAAGAGTGAGGTCAGGGGTCAGCATCTGATGAGGGCCTCCATCCTGTATCATTCATGGCAGAATGTAGAAGCATAGGAAAACTCATGACTGAGGGGTGGGGGGAGGGCAAGCCAGAGTCAGTTTTATAACAAACTCTTACAATAACATTAATGTATTAGTCACCTTTATGATGCCCTCTGCTGACCTCCACAGGTATTACATGACATGGGTGCACTTACATATATGTAGGAAAACCACTCATACACATAAAATTTTTTTTGATGAAAATCCTGTCTCTTGATGGTATTGCTTATTAGGGATTGGATTTCTAACATGTGAATGCTAAGAGGTACATTCAAACCATAGTAGATGGTGTTGCATGAGACCATTCCTCAATGTGTCATGACTACTCCTTTGGCTACTCCCTATGGGGTGAGGAGGGACCTGTAAAATTCACCCTTGCTGGGAAGTCTGTGCCCAGCCTCCACTCTCACAGGAAGGACTGTACTGTAAGAATCTCAGAAAGACCAGTGAGGTCCACGTTCTACCTGCATTGCATAAATCAGGAAGGGGTGCTGAGCCTCTCTGAGTCTATTTGACCCTCTAGATAAATCATTCCTTCTCCTGCTTACATACCTAGGATGAGTAAGGGAAAATGACAAATGGACAGAGCCAATCCGATGGGATCCAAGAGAAAGAGTGTTAGGAAAGCAAAAAGAGCTGAGTAAATGTTATAAAAGACTGCCATGTTGTAAGAGTTCGGAGAACACTCTAAAAGCCCAATATGAATGCCAAAAGATTATATTAATGTAAGGGGGAAACACATGTCAATTCCTCCTCCTCTTCATGTCTCCCCATTTTCCTCCCTCCCTCCCTTGTTTCAGACCAGGCCCAGTAAAGCAAGAAGCAGTCTGCAAACTTCTTTTGAACAGCAAGAAGTTGTCCCAGCTGTAATGATAAAGTGCCCTTCCTTAGGGCAGAAGGAGCCCAGAAGGGGAAGGCTGCCGAGCACCAAGGCTCTAGGCCCTCTCAGCTCTGCTGGCCAAGGAAGGCCCCTGGCACTGGACAGCACGTGTGAACACAGGTCTGCCTGGCTCACTTTCAGCGTGCTCTGGGAAGACAAGGCACAGAACTCTAGAAATAGGATCCATTACACACAAATCTCTACAGTCAGTTCTGAGCCTCTGAAAGGGACCAGGACAGAGACATTAAAGGTAGGACGGCACACTGTTTGGCGGGTTTCCCACAGAGGGATGATGAGCAAACTGGGCAGGTAGAGAGGGACTGGCAGGGCTTCCCACGGACTGATGATGAGCAAGCTGGGCATGTGAGAAGGGATGGGAAGGGCTTCCCACAGAGGGCTGATGAGCAAACGGGGCAGGTGGAAACGGATTGTGATCTTCTCTTTCACTTATACATCCATTTCCTCAACAGGCATCTGTTTAGCACCTACTAAAGTGCAGACACAGCTCAGGAGCAGACACGGGCTCAGCCGCTGCGCAGGAGAAACTCTCAATCCAGGAGAGAACAGACATGTCTATAAGCAACTGCAGCCCTTAAGTAAGACGAGCATTCGAATCTGTGCGTGTGGATGTGTGAGCATAGGGGTGGGTACCCTGCCTGGGCTATGGCTATTCCACAGACCACAGGTGACTGTGTACAAGGTCAGGTAACTAGGAAAAGAGAGGAGTCACAAGAACCAGCCTGTTGCCTCACCTGGCTGAACAGGCAAGCAGAATCCCAGGGGAGAAGAAGGTGAGGGGAGAGGAAGCTGGGCTCAGACTCAGGACTGAGTGTAAAGCTGGGGGACAGTGGAGGATGTCAGCAGAAGAGGGCACAGTTATCCCAACCTAGGAAACTGGGACAAAGTAAAGCTGTAAGGGGAGGGGACAGAGGTGCTGAGCATGATGGGAAATGAAGCCAGACATCGATCAGGAGAAGAGCAGCCTCAGAAGTGTCTGGGCCTCCCTCAGTGCTTGGAGTGAGGCCATGTCTTGATGATGTTGTACAATGCTTTCCCAGGGGACAGAGTGTTGGACACATCACTGTGAGCCATCAGCGTGTAGTTGGGGGTCAGGTATCCCTTGACCACAGCACACTGGATCAGATCCTGAGCTGCCTTCAGCGCAGCAACATTTGGAGGCTTTTCTGAAAAACATATTTACCCATAATCATTAGGCTGCTTGGTCAGGGCAGAACAAGCTCCTAGATTCCAGTCTTTCTCCTCTCTCATATCCTGTCCCACAGTCACCACAGCCAACAAATAATCACAAAGCAAGAACAAAGTTTCCGTGTTTCCTGATTCCACCTGGTGAAAATTTCCTTAGAAAGTCAAAAACTGCCTTGGAATAGAACTCTGTCATAGGCATGTATAGAGCATCCATGTGCCACTGGATTCTCCTGTGTTCTGCCACCAGACGTAGTGGTACTACTCAACAGGGTTGCCGCGGCTACTCTCCATTTTCCAAAGGAGACATAAGGGTACAAACATATGCAAAAAACAAAAACCAAACAAACAAGCAGACAAACAAACTACAGAAAAACCCCTTTTTCTGCCCTGGGTATGGACACAAAGTAAGATGGAGCTGGGGATGGGTGTGTGTGAACTGGGGGCGAGTATTCTATCTAGGAGGTGCTCCTGGTAGCTAGCAGCCACTCTTCACTGAAAACGTTCTTTAAAGCTAAAATATTCTTCTGGCACTTCCGGGTACCACACTGCCATCACCATTTGCCCCCTGCTTCCCAAGCATCCCACATGCATTGCATTAGGAGGAACTCTGTTTTTGCATATACCTTACCTACAAAGTTTCCCATGAAGGCAATTCCTAGAGCAACATCATTGTATCCGTAGGTGTGAGAACCTTCGATATGCCAGCCGACCCCTTCATACACTCCACCGTCCTCGCCCACCAGGAAGCTAGGATCCGACAAAGGAAGAGGAGGAAGTCACTCTGAGGACCAGAATTTGCTTCAGTCTCTCCCTTAGTCATTAATCCATTCTTTCATCCATTCATCACATAGACTGGGAGTCTCTTATGTGCTGCTGTGATCAGAGATGAAAAACAAAGCCCCGTCCGCTGCGATGCTCCTTGTCCCCACCACTCCACAGAATCTGCCTCAGCCAAGGTAACTGTTGACCTTCTTGACACTAAGTGGGCGTTTATTTTACTTCTGGAATGTGCTGGCCCTATGTTGACCATTCTGTTCCTGAAACGTTCTCTTCCCCAGTCTCCCATCGCTGATTCCCCCTTCCTTCTCTCTCCTCTGTCCCTCCCTTGGGTCCTTCTGCCATTTCACCTGCCTTCTCTCGACTATTGTGCTTCTTAAAGCCCCGGGCTTCCTCTTTGAGACCTTAGTCCAGCCCCTTCTCCTCTCTCACCGAACAGACACAGTCACCCTGACTCAGCAATCATCTATCCCCATGGCTTCAATTACTGTCTATAAAAGCCATGCCAAATAAAAACATGCCAAACAAACCAGTCATTCTCTGCAGCCAGGAAATTTGCCATCATCCTAAGTGCTGTCCTTTCCCTCTTCCAGCCTGAGCTGGATCATTTCAGCTGTCCACATGACACACCCGGGAAGAGGGAACCTTAGTTGGGGAATTTTCTCTATCAGACTGGCCTGTGGGCTTGTCTATGAGCCATTTTCTTGATTGTTGAGTGATGGGGGGGGACGGGAGGTGCGACCCCTGGTCAGGTGGTTCTGAGTTGCAGAAGGAAGCAGGTTGGGTGCAGGCCAGAGGAGCAAGATAGTAAGAAGCATTCCTCCACGTGCTCCAGTCCCGCCTCCAGGTCCCCACCTTGAGGTTCTGCCTTGGCCTCCCTCAGTGATGAGCTGTGATAAGGACATAAGACAAATAAACCTTTTCCTCTCCAAGATTTCAGTCAGAGTGTTTTATCACAGCAAAAAAGGAGCCACACTAGGACACAGTCCCATCCAACCACCATTCAGGGCTCATCAACTGTGTCTCTTAGCTTTTAAATTCCTCCACTTCTCTCTTCTAACTGCAACTATCCAACTCCAAGATGGGTTACTGCAACAACACCCTGCCCAGATTGAGTTTTGCCTTTTTCCAATCTACTCTTAAAATAATACTCAGAACAGTTTTTCGTTAACATATGAATATTATAAAGGGTGTGGCTTCCAGATAGTCTCAAGTTTCCTTTTACAAAAGTCAGTTTTCAGTTCCCTTTGTAAAAGCGCCATGGTGGAAGGCTCTTGCAGGCCCCTCTCACTTTCCCTCTCGCTACTGGTCTCTTGGGAATCAACTTTTAGATTTGAGCAGGACATATTTCTCAAAGACCCATAATCTGTCAAGATCCCAGGCTTTTGAATGTGTTCTTCCCCTTTAACTGGAACACAACCTTTTTCTTTGACAACAAACCCAATACCTGATTTATGTGCCCCTTTCTTCTTGGTAACCCTTCTCTGACACCCATCAATCACTCCCCCAAAGACTTAGAAACTCATCTGTGTCCCAGCCCTCTTCTAACACTATTCTGAACATTTTACATTGTAATTGACTTGTCTGTTATTTCTCTCAGCTCTGCAAGGGAAAGAATCATATCAATCTTGCCTGGCACTAAGCATGGACACCCAAGTAGACACAAGGATCATGAATGAGTGGGTGTTTTGGTCCTCCAATTCCAGTCTGCATCAGTGCCAGAGATAGCATATCATGCATGCCCTGGAGTGCACAGAGATTCCACAAGCAGATTTGAAGGTCAAGAAATAAGGATCTGAGGACTGAAGGAAAGGGAAAAATAAATATTCCATCATTCGGCATTCTCGACTTGGAACTTCCAGCTTTGTAGTCAGTTCTCTATTATCTGCTGAGTAACTGTTACAACACTATGAAAACTCTTGAAAAACAAGGCAGGTTCCCCTCCTACATGCAAAGGCTGCTTTTAACACAAGAGTCAAGAGGATGAAGATGGCCAGCGAATACAGCAATGGTGCACTGCAGAAGCAAAGCCATCCTAGATGGCAAAATTCCCTGTGGTCAAGTCACAAATGAGTAACCAAAGTTTATTGTATTATAACCCTAAATCCCATCTATGAAAGGTACAAGGCCTCTCCCAAATAACTTCTGCTATCCCATTAGTTTAATGTGATTTTTCTCCTACAGACCTGGCATCAAAGGAACCAAAAGAGAATAATTGATCTCGCTCCCTGTCTTCAGACGGAAAGTGCTGTCCCTGTTATAGGCATGAGATGAAAGAGGCGCAGAGAGGTTACAAATCCTGTATCTACAATCAGGATAAGCAGCAAATGACTAACAGGATTCTAACACCAGAGAAAGCAAGTCTGGGGCTGGGCCAGGTGAGGTAAAGATGAGCAGGACCTTTGCCCCTGATTGCTAGAACGTGATGCATAAAAAGGCATATTCCCTTCCCCGGCCTTCCCTGGGGGGTCATACTTTTGCTTTGACACTTACTGCTTCTTTCTTTTTTAATATTTTATTTATTATTTTAATTTTATGCATATGAGTGTTTTGTCTACATGTGTATAAGTGCACCCATATCATGCAATGCCCACAGAGGTCAGAAGGGGCGTCAGATCCCCTGGAACTGGAGTTAAAGATGATTGTTAGTTGCCATGTGGGCACTGGGAATCAAACCCGGATCCTCTGCAAGAGCAGTCAGTACTCTTAAGTGCTGAGCCAACTCTCCAGCCCCCACTTACTGCTTTTTATGCTTGCCCTCCAGAGTCTTCCCGACCACAATGGAAAACATGCCCAGGAGAGACGAGTAACCCAAGCTGAATGATGTTCTGTCCAGAGTCTTGTAAGAATGAAATATGATGTCTGCGTAAAACACCCGGTTCCCCAGCCTTCCTTTCCACAGCTCTGAACACTTACTGATATCCAATGTCACAGAAGTCTTGTTTGTCCATGTGAAATGACTGTGTGTCTCTGACACCAACGAGGCAGTCCACAGATACATTGCAACTTCTCCCAGCAGTGTGGATGATGATGACAAATCTGGCTGGAAGGTCCATTTGAGGACAGTGTGTCTCTCTGGCCTCCCAAGCAGACCGTGGCGTGATGTTGGGGCATGCTGAGGTGACGTGAAAAACCAAGGAATGAGAATTTGCCTTGGCCCTTGTGAGCCATCCCACAGCTGAAGGCTTCCCCAGCACCCTGCAACCGTGGACACAAGCTGATGTGTACTTTGCTGTAGGAGCCATCCCACAGCTGAAGGCTTCCCCAGCACCCTGCAACCGTGGACACAAGCTGATGTGTACTTTGCTGTAGGAGTCTGAAAAGGCCAGGGGAAAGCTGGATCAGGATCCTGAAGCCAAAAGACAGGGTTTTGATGACATTAGAAGCCAGTGTGAAAGCAGAAAGAAGCAGGTGTGGTATGTGCTTCATGCAATAAACACAACAAACACAGATCAGCTCACTCTTTACACTGATCAGGGTTATGCAGAAATAATCTAAATCTACAAAGAACTCTACAAAATTAAGGAATTATTATTAAGATAGGACCAGCCCAAAAGCAAGACAAATTTTATTTAGAGATTTATAATTTCAAAAACCAAATTTTAAAAAAATATATCATTGGATCTGACAAAAAGGCTCTGCTCTAGGAGAACTAAACTACTTTTAAAAATGCTTAATAGGGACTGGAGAGATGGCTCAGCAGTTAAGAGCTCTGACTGCTCTTGCAGAGAACCCGAGTTCGATTCCCAGCACCCACATGGCAGC